GAATAACTGCTACAAAGATGTGCCACAGAGGTCAGGAGGAAGGAGCAGCAAAGGTTCAGCTATGGCAAAGTTAACAACATTTAACATTTGTCTCCTCTTAGCAGTTTCCTCACATAGGCACAAGTGTGAGCTGGTAGCACTGTAGGTTATCGCTGTAGCTGGTGAAGGAATATACCCAGGAAACATATGTATCAGCACTTGCACATCATTATCTCAGTTGCTTCACTGATAGTTTGCACTGCACAGCTGGGAAGCCTAGAAGTTATGGAAGTACCCACCTCACTGTGGTGAAGAACTGTTTATAAGCCCTGAAAGCACTGAGTTGGCCCAAATCATAAAATTAATATTGAATATCAGAATGTAGAGTAACCCGGGGCTTTACAGAAGACTTAACAGACCTCGTAGGCTTAAGGAACTTGCTGTATGAGCAGCCAGAGCAGCTTTCAAGAGACCAGGCAGCCTTCCATTAAAATCCATCCATCCCATGGAAACTCGACACATTTCTACAAATGAGGTTTTATTCAAAAATCACCATTTTCCAATGAAAACTTGTCATTCCCTCCTTCAAGAAAAAGAAGTCTCCATCTAAAAAAATGAACAAGCTTACATTGGTGGTTTAAATGAAGTAACAGCTCACGGGAAGGGAGAGTCGTACTCAAAGGCAAAAAACCACTGGACTTCAGGAAGTGCAGCAGGCCAGGGAAGGATGGAGAAAGCATCCAGGGCTGGTCAGATGTACCCTTTTTCATGCACAGGACAGCAGTCTGAAGGAAGACCAGTGAAACACACTCCTCTAATGTTGCTACGCTTTCAGCTCAAATCTACTCTTTTGCTTCTGTATTACAAAATTTCAAGCATTACATGTAAGACAGCTTCACTTTTTGTTTAGTATGTTCGTAAAAACACAGTCTTTGTTCAGAGACCCATTTTCATCTAGGGAAAAATGTCTAAGAGCTGTGAAAAGCAAGGGGAGCTAGGGACAGTTCAAAAAGCCTGGTGCAAAGCCATGTACTGAGAACACAGCCATGGTGAAACCATTCATTTTGGGAGCCATCATTAGCCAAAATGAACAGCATATTACCACACAAAGAAAATCTGCTGTCCCCACTCTTTCTAACCACCTACTTCTTGCCCCGTATCTTTTCCTACCCTTCCAAGACTTCAGTCGTTTTGCATGGATATTGCCCAACTTGATTCTGTTGGCCCGAGTCGGGTAAAGTCCAGCGAACAGTGCAATTCTGCCGGGAACAAGCAGTGACACATCCCGTGAAGCTCGCTTCAGCCGTGGGCTGACCACAGGTGCTGCCCTATTCCTAAGAAGAATCTGGTCTGCCTGCTGCTTTACGGAGGGAAGCAAAACTTCAGCGCTTCCTCAGAAGCCTGCTGAATCACACCGCAAGCCCTGCTGACCCAAAGCATGGCTCTCTCCAGGCATTCTCACCGCAGTGTGCCACCTCCCGTGCTCTGCCCCCCCTTAAGCCCTTCACGGTGGGACGAATATCGTGTTTGCCCCTTCAGGTGCTGTCAGAAAAGCCGCAGGCTCCCACCAACCCGGGGGCGCCGACGCCGGGAAGCCGCTCTCCACCGCTCCTGCCCACTGCAGCTAGGACAGGCCTGGGCTGAACTCCGCATCCAGGGCACGCTTCAACCGGAGAGCTGCAGCCCGCTGCGAACCGTTACAAAGCCGCGGTGAGAAACCCTCCACAAGGGGACACCGACAGGCCGCGCGTGAGAAGGCGAGCCCTGGAGCAGAGCCAGCCCGGCGGCCCAGGCTCGGCCTGCTCCCAGACAGGCG